GATTTCCGTATTGCACAGATTCATTGACTGATATGATTTGATTGATTAATTGACTGACATGCATATTGATAGCATCGCCGTGCTTTGATTTTAGTTATAGGTATTAGGTGACCTGCTGGGCTTTGTAAAGCTCATTATATGTGGTTGATATTTTCAGGTCAGGGCAAGGGAGCAGAAGATAGGAATTGATCCAGATCTTCAGGTTTTTGTCTTTTGATTGATAGTGATTCTTTTGTACTCAGGATAGATTTCAGAATTGGTAATTGTAGTATAGTTCCTGAGTTTTGTATATGACTTTTGAGATATGAATCGACTTTTATATTGATGTTTTAAATTTTATAGATGTTTGATAGACTGCTTAATTCAATGGTTTTAGATAACTCTGATAAATTGTTTGGGAAATTGATTGACATTCTTTCCAAGTTAGATCTTGGGGCATCACATATATGGTGTACGTTGTATCAATATGTATATCATGTACTATATAATGTATAAATGTAATGTATATCATGTAATTCATATGTATTAGATGTCTGCATCAATCTTAGCAGTCATATCATGTATTATATTCATATCATATTATATCATATCACTTAAACAAATTATTATGTATGCTCATGTCATATACAAACAAGATAGGACACATAGCTACCTGTGGTATTTTTTTGTAACATTACGTAGGTCAACTCTACATGAATCAGTTGCAATCATATAAGTCATATTGCCAGGAATAAGTCTCATATCACATATCAAAAGTTAGGTGATCTTCATGTAACAAGTTATCACTTCTCATCTATCAGTATATCATGTCACATCAATCAACCCTCTTTTACCTCCCTTTTTCATATCACGTAGGATTACACTATAAATCTTATTTAAATAAAAGACTTTCGGCCCATCCTTCTGAATAGGATAATATGTCTCTAGAAAACTTGAATTAGTTAATCATTTTCAACTAGCCTTTCTTAACTTTACACATATTTCATATCACATAAATCATGATAACAAATATTATTATGCACCCAATGTAATTATTAATATATTCATCAGTATGTCTGTAATATATCAAAAATGCATATTTGATTAAATAAATAGTAAATATATGCATATTATGTATTTTATGTCCAAAGGGTATGCTAACTCTTAATTATTTTATACTCAATATTATACTACTCATTTTAATTAAAATGACATATAAAAAAAATTTCTAATAAAATTCTAACATTAACCATTCAAAATATTTAGGGTAATATTATCTATCACATATCAAATGACATTGGATGAAAAATCATTAAAATAAGAAATATTATATTTTTATCAATTTCAGGAGGGAGGTTAATAGGTAAATATAAAATCATTGAATACAGAGGTAGGGTTAAGGTTATTTAATAAGACCAGAACACTTTTCCCAATTTGAGCAACAAATATTATTGGCCTAAACCCTACCTACATTTTCTCTCATCTTTCATCCTCTTTCTTCTTTTATTCATCTTGCTCTCTCTTCTCTTTCCTAGCCAAAATGAAATGAAAAGCCTAAGAGAGGTAGTGAGGGTTTTAGATAATTATTTTATATATTTTTATTTTTTTAAAAAAATAATTTTCAAACCTAGTACCACAACACTCTAGACTCAGTACCATAGCGATATCCAGACTTAGTGCCAAAGTGCTATAAACTTAGTGCCATAACACTCCCTCAAATTTTAGAAAATTGGAAAGCATAATGCCATGACACAGTCTAACCAGCACTATAGTGCTCAACCAACCAAATTTTCAAGAAATTATGAAAAATTAATTTGAGATTATTGCAATCTACTGACCATAGAAAAATATCGTCCTCGTCAATTTCCTAAATGTTTTACTAACAAATATAACATAATCAATAATCACTAATCAAAATATATACTCATTCATTCACATATGTGTGTATGTCAATCAATTATTTAACATATTATATAATACATTTCAATCATAAGAAATAACATTCAAAATAGAGAACTTTGTTAGTGGACCTTTTCGGATCATCTCTCACATCCCACTAACTCAAGTTATATACTTTAGGTTGTACGAGTGTTATCATCACTAAATGTGCGGGCTGCCTCTGTCTCACACTCACATTTCTAACATCATTCTTGCTCAAAGAATCTTCAATGTACATTCTAGATCCTATAATCTTCTATCCATACATATACTTGCCTGCATTGATCCATCCTATATCCAGATCTCTCTCTAAATTCTTTATACAAGTTATCCATCATCCCATGTCTTTATATCGATTATATCTAAAGCACTATCCTATGATCAAATAACATTGTCCTACATGTCTCCTATAACATATGGGGCACTCCTATATACTACTTGTTAGTATCATGGGTTCTCTCCTAACATTAACAAACATACTTCTCTTCTCACTATTTTCTCCTCTTTCCAACTTTTCATCTACTCTCTTTCTATACATATCATGTATGCATAAGGAATAGCCAAATCATTTTATACTAATCCAATTCAATCCACTAACTCTAAAAAACTCCTAAATTCTCAATGGTATAATTGAGTGTCTCAACTTAATCATTAATCCTATCAACAATCTTTAATATATATTTCTCCTATACAATGCTGACTAATTAGGGTGCATAACTAGTCAGTATAGTAACTCATCTTCATGCATATTTCATCACTATCCTATTTCCCTACTCTAATATCATGATAGTTTCATGCATATGATGTCTTGTTGCTGGTGGGGGTACAAACTAGAACCTAAAAATAATAACAAATTATGCCCCAAGTAATCTCTTCAGTCATCCTTCCTTAGAAGTTTTTCATTGTTATCTTATCCACCCCCTCTCAGCTTCTCCTCCAATAGAAATACTTATAGTGATACTTTCATGTTATTTGAGCATTATAAGTTATAAAATATTTTTTCTATCCTTAGTAACTAGTCCTCAGTTGTTTGTGGTTCTGCAGTTCTCTTGAGTAGTATGGGTTTCAACTTTTAAAATATTTATAAGTACTTATCCTCTTTAGTCTCCTTGGCCTCAGTTTTTGCTTTCCCTATGAATCACTCATCAACTGAGATATCAAATTTATAAACTGCATCATACTGTCAGAACTCAATAGGGCTACCATACTCTGAACATTTGGTACTTCAGATGGATCAATTATACTCAATATATTTCTCTTTTCTATCAAGTTATAATTCAATCATACATATGCATGCTATGAACATTAAAAATAAATCAAAATCTTGTTGCTACATATTTATGTTCCTCGCAATAAATGCTTATAATTCTGGTTACAATCTAATTCTTTCAAGAACTTTCACTCTGATATCAATTGTAATACCCCAAGATGAAAATTTAGAAGAATTATTTATTTTAAACTCTTAATTAATCTATCAGAGTTATAACATAGTCAAATATGTCAGACGAATTACTAGAGTTAGTTAATAGTTACTTCAATAGGAGTATAATCATGTGACTTTGACCTCTACCCCCTTCAGCTCTAAATTTATGGGAGATTCAAATGATATTCTCGAGTTCACTGAATAAGACATGCTATCATAGATAAGTTAGCCAAGAAAGCCAAGAAAGCCAAGAAGCCGAGTTATCAATAACATTATATAGTGTTTCACCTTAAGAAGAGAGAAATGAGCATTATGACTCATAATACTTTAAAAAATGAGAGGACATCTCTAGGTCTGCTTTAGCAAACCAGCTGCACTCCTCTCTTAGTATCACTTTTTTTAGCTCAAAAGAGTTGGATCAAATTCTCTGTACAATATTTCTCGGATAAACATTTTGAAACTTATCTCCTCTCTAATGTTATTATATTTTGAGAATGATTCATTTTGTTTAACAAATTCTTCATAACTTTCAAGAATGAATTAATATTCAATAAAACAATTTTATATAAAGGGTAATAAAGATAAATACTAAGGCTTCATTTGGACAACTTTCTTATAGCTTTGCTTTTCAGATCGCAATCATAATTTTTATTTAACTACTATTTTTTCACTGTTTTCATGAATTTTTTGTGCTATGAAATTACTTTTAATTGTACTTTCAAAAAAGCTATCTTCTCTATAATAACTTTACAATCATCTTTATAAAAAGCTATACCATCCATAACGGACCTTAACTCAAGACAATCCCTAGTCTTTTTACACTAATATGTAATAGCTCATCTAATTAAATAAATTTCTTAATGTTATATGTACTAACATGTGCATATACTTAATTTTATGTTAGAATTATTTATTTTAATTGTTTTCATGTTATTTACTGAGGAGATTTAAGAAAGGATGGTAAGGTGGACTCAGCCCTTTATTTGCCAGGCCCAAACCTACCATCCTTGATCAAATCCAGTAAAAGAGAATATTTTTATTTATACTCATTTCTTAATAATTTTTTTCCATGCCCAAGAAAATAAAATTCATATTAAACATAATGCTTGATATACTATCTTCATTCTTGTTTTGTAAACTAAAGAAAAAACCTTGAAACACAATAGAAATGATTTTAGGCTTCATATGATTTTAGGCTTCATTCGGGATGACATTTTTACTGTTTTATAAATCAATTTTTTAGCACAAAAATCTTTTTTAAAAAAAAATGTACTAAAAAATTACTTTACAAAATAATAAGAAAGCTGTCCCAAACGAAGCCTTTGTTTAAATTTTGTATTTATTTTGTGTTAAAATTAATGTAATTAGGATACTCCTAACTTCACTCATTTTTTTAATATCTTTTCAAATGCTTCATAAATATAAAATGAGAGCATTGGGATCAAAATTATTTTGAAAGATTTTTGAGATTATGATATCTTAATGAAAATTTGATTCAATGTAATTCAAAACTAATTATAATTATCTTCTTTAGTTCATAAATTAATAACATATGATTAATGAGAATTTTTAATATTAATTTATTTTATAAAATTTTATTTTCATAATTTTCATTAACTTGATGATTGGTGAGTTAAATCAGTAAAGCAAAAGCCTTGCAGGAGTGAGGACTGGGACAACCCCAAAGGCATCAAGTGCGCACTGGAGACAATGCCGGTGCTTAATCGAAGACAGCCGCTATTCGTGGGGACGGATTGGCGGCTGTTCTATGCGGCAGCGAAGACGATCGGTTCTATGCGGTCGGCGGTGGGCCTCGTCAACATCACAGCCTTATCGGAGCTTCGCAAGGACGCACACACCTCCGTCCACACAATCCGACAAGGGAAGATGCTAACGCCGAAGCAGCAGGCCGAACCAGCCCTCTACGCCGACTGCATCCACTGGTGCTTACCGGGCCTCCCGGATACGTGGAACCATTTCCTCTATGCTCGCATTATTTCTGGAAGCTTCTCGAAGATCTCCACTCTTTAGAAGTATTATTGGTTCTCTGTAATTTTTTGTTTTTGATTTTTGCTTGGGCGAATCCGACGGTGGAGAGGCTTCCGATTTGATCAGATGGGTAAAGTTTTTGGACCTAAGCTAGAGCTCTAGTGGGGGTCATCCGGACTTGATCAATAGTATATAGCTAGTTTTATGAGAGATTTATGTGTGCCTTCAAATTTTTTTATTAAATTAATATTGAAGTATTTAAATATAATAGAAAATTTCATGTATTTGTGTATGATATGATCAAGTAATTTAAAGAATAATAAATAATAAAACTTAGTGTAGCTTTTCTAATTTAATAATTTCTATATTATTCGTCTGAGAAAAAGATCAAAATGATCTCTTGATTCTTTTAAGAGATCAAGATGATTCCTAACTATATTAAATGATTATTTTGATCTTTCAAATTCTTTAAAGTGGAATCATACTATCAGACTATTTTGATTCTTTATAAAGAGTTGAGGGGTTAAAAAAACCTTTTAATTAAATTGTAGATCATTTTGATCATTCATAGAGAGTTAAGAAATAAATTTGTTCATTTTCTCTTATTCATCTTGTTACGTCCTGGAGTATTCGCGGCGGTAGAAAAATATAAAGTTTAACGTTTTAACTTTGTACGAAAATCTGGCACGCAAACAGATGAAAGAGACGTGCAACATTCATAAAAGACACCAAGATTTTTACGTGAAAAACCCCTAAAAAAGAGAAAAACCCATGAGGCCTAGCCCAGTTTGAATGAATCCACTATTATTTGCTTCAATTGATTACAAATGAGGCCCTTCTTTGGGGGAAGACTTTAGCTTGATGTACATCTTATAGAATACATTACATGGTGGGAATACAAATAATCACTATTGACATGTTCGTTTTATCAGAAGGACCATATTCTGGTGATGGAGGTCAGCAGAATCGTAGTCTACGGGCGACTGAGGTCATAAAGACCGCTGTCTGGCGACGGAGGTCGGAAGGACTATAGTAGGTGGGCGACGTAAGTCATGAGGACCGTAGTCAGCAGGAGACGAAGGTCGGAAAAATTGAAGTTGATGGGCGACATAAGTCAGGAGAATCGTAGTCGGCTGGCGACGGATGTCGGAAAGACCGTAGTCGGTGGTGGACGACGTAAGTCAGCAGGACCATAGTCGTCGGGCAATGGAGGTCAGAAGGACTGTAGTCGGTGGTTGATGTAAGTTAGGAGAACCATAGTCGGTGGGCGACGGATGTCATAAAGACCGTTTTCTGGAGATGAAATTCGGAAGAACTGTCGTTTGACGACGGATGTTAGAAGAACGGCGTCAGGTAGAACTCCTGCAATGGACAAAAATCTAGTATCGGATAGATGTCCAACAGAAGTTTGATAACGGGCAGAAGTCCGACGTCGGGTAGAAATCTGACGACGAGTGAAGGTCCGGCATCGGATAGAAGTCCGACGTTAGTCGGCAGCCGGGTAGGACTCCGACGCTAGATGGTATTCAGGTAAAACACCGGCGTCACTTGGAGGTCGGACGGAATTCCGGCATCCCTTGGAGGTCGGTCAGAATTTTGGAGTCCCGTGGAAGTCAGGCAGAATTCCGACAGTGGTCGAGGAGGAGTTTTTTCCCTCCTATCCTTCTTCTATTTTCTTCTCATTCTTCTCCTCTTCTTCTTGCTTTGGCCCCCCCTATTTTTAGACGTTGAAGGTCCAGAAGTCTGAAAATACTTATTCTAATATTATACATTGGCCGAATCATAAAAAATTGTGTTCCAAAAGTTAAAATCTTGCTCAAACTTGATCATAGAGGCCCCGTTGAGCTCCAAAAGTGTCAAAATTGAGCCTCGGACGTCAAAAAATGTGTTCGGGGACTCCAAAAATGTCTGATTTGGACTGTTCGGGCTGAAAATCGAGCCCGGACAAGCATAGGCGGCAGAACAGGCCGACCGGCCGGCTGGCCGTCGCTCGTCGCCTCCACCGGCGGTAGTTATCTGGCATTTTAGTTTCTTTAATTTTTTTAAAATCATTTTTTAATTCAAAAAATTTCAAAAAATTTTGAAAATTCCAGAAAAATTTAGAGCCGATAATTTAAAAATACAGTATACCGTAATTGTCTATGGCGGCAACTTCTTTCTGTTTTGAGCTGATCGTCCTGGCCGATATGTTAATGACGGCTGCCTTAATTAAGAATCCTTATTTAGACTTTCTATTTTAAGCCTGATCGTCCAGGCCGATAAAAAAATCGTCCTGGCCGATATGAGTAAAAATAGAAATTCTAAGTCTCTCAAGTGTGTGTGTGAAGGGTTACTTAGCATCAGTCTCTTTGACAATTACAAGTAGACTCAAGAAGTGAAAAACAAAATTACAGACTTACTCAACCCTAAACCTACGCAATTCTGAATTGGCTTCTTCTTGTTCGTCTGATCTTTGATTCCTGAAATGTTAGAAGCAACAAGCAGTCCAAGAGAAATAGTGTTTGTCAATCATCAAAACATAAGCCATGAAAATAGATTTGCAACATAATTTAGCCCCCCTATTTGTTGAGAATGTTGTTGTTGTCCCTTCTGTGACGAAGAATGTGGAGCAGGTTCTAGGTTGTGATGTTGGTAATCTTGAGGATGCTGTTATTGTTTTGTCCTCTGATGTCTTATCGTTTGTACCACCTATTCATGACTTGGGATCTCTAGAGTCGATTTCTCCTGCCCCTTTGCATATTAATTCGTTGAATAGTTTGGTTTCTGTTGATGAGGTTGGTGCCGCTGTGTCTTATGTGAAAGTTACTGAGGATGTTGTGGATGGGGTCTTACCTTCTATTCAGGACCCTCGGGCTTGTGCTAGTGTTGGTGGTCATTTTGGTTGTGCTGTTAATTCTTGTCTCGTGTTGTCTGAGGTGGGTATTGTGTCTGCCTCGTGCTTTTTGTCTGGTAAAACTGTGCCTAGTGTGGCTGTGGAGAATTCGGGTGAGTCTGGCATCCCTAATGTTTCTTCCCCTGGTAATTTGGGTGGGGTTCACTTGGATACACCTTCGGGTGTGGTGAGTGAGGGATCTACTAGTACTGTTGTTCTTATTTTTATTTCCCCGGTTGCGCCTATTGTTTAAGTAAATTGTGATTTTGTTGAGGTCCCTGTTAATTTATTATCTCCTAAGGCTTTGGCTGCTCATGTGGGTGCCAATTTGGGGGGGAGTATTAGGTTGAAACTTGATTGGATTCAATGCTCATCCAATTCCTCTTCGGAGACTAGCGTGGATGATGAACTTGGGGTTGATTTTACTTTGTAGAATGACCATCCTATTGTTGCTGCTTCCTCCCATTGGAGGGGTAAATGTGGGAGGACGTAATTTGGGTTTGTGCTGCTATTTCTCTATGGTTGTGGGTTTCCTTGTGGAGGAGATATTTTGGGCATTGGTTGGCTCTTGGTGGTTGCCACTTCACCAGAGCTTTGTTTATTATTTTCAGTTGGCCATTTTAGTTTTTTGGGCAATGATGTGGCTTGAGCTCACTATTTTGTAGCTGTGGCTTGTGACAACCTTTGGTGGTGAGTTTCTTTCTCGGTTGGGATGGCTACTTGGTATGTTACTGCTCTTTGATCCAAACTAGATGGTCTGTGCCTGGCTTCAGAGTAGTTGGAAGCCTTTGCTAATTACTGAGCCCGATGGGTTGTAACCCTTTTGTAGCTTCTATAGCTTTTTGTTTCGTTTCATTTCTTCGCATATTGTACTCCTTTATTGGTAATAATAAAATTTTTGTTTATGTTAAGAGAGAGAGAGAGAGAGAGAGAGAGAGAGAGAGAGAGAGACTTAGGAGATCTTTGATGCAACTTTTTTTTTTTTTGCCAAATAAGGTAGCGACATACATTCTTCTTTATTTACTTGATTAAGACTTAGAATTACTCATAGTCTATCACTATTTGCTCCACTTTTTTTTATTCTTCCACCTTTGGGTCTAGGAGCTAGGTCTTTAAATTATCTACTACTAATATTAGAGGAGAATGATATTATATAGTATTATCTTGAGTTTAGTGTTTTTTCCCAGTGTCATTTTGCCACATTAAAAGAGAACCACTATCATTTGATTTAGCTTATATTGTTCTACACTACAAGAAATATGTCGAAAATATAAATTACCAACGGATTTTCTTCATTTGGTGGCGAAAATGGCTGTCAGAAAATGACATTTTTCCTATGGTGCTAATACATAAACCACCATAATATCTTAGAGAATCTGCTGGGGTAGGAATAGATGAACCCTATGATGTGACCATAGATCCTTTCATACATGCATTGTAGGTAATTATGGAGATGATCGAGCTCCAACTCGATAATCTCTTTTTGAATGTATGGAAAATACTCACTGTATTAATAAACTTGAACTCCAAAACACAACAACCAAGTGGTTTTCCTATTAGTGACTAAGATAGCTAGCTACAAGTGATGAAGGATATTGTCCAGAAGAAAGCTTTTTTGCATCTACCAGATATAAGAGGAATACCAAGGTACTTTACTGGAAATTCCTTGAAGAGCTTAACAAGAGATCTATTCTACCGTAGGTAACCTGTTCAGCCTCCCCACGAAGGTAAATATTCTTCTGGGAGCAACTTGGAGAAGTACCATTGACGATTCTAATAGATCGGATTCAAATTTCTCAGCTTGATGAGGCTTGTGACAAGGCCATCATGTTTCTGTGGTGGATGAAAAATTAGAGGCGTGGGCTTAAGATGATTTGAGGTATGTTTGAAATGTCAATCAATCCCGTTACTTTACAAAATATTTCAAATTCAAATTTGATATTCCGCATTTTAACAAGCTTATGCATAGAGGATTGTTTGGATTGGTTGAAGTTTGTCAAAACTTTCTTCAAATGTATGGAGATGCTAGAGAAAAATAAGGTCAAAGTTGTAGCTTTCACAGTAAAGGGCACACTAGTTTTTTAGTGATAATAGCTAACTAGAAGTACATTAATGCCAAGAGGGAGTAATTCTAATCAAATCATAACTGAGAATGCATATATTAATCTGAGAATGATTCCTTTCTATTGATTATGATCATATCATATGTCATCAAAGTCATGTGCAATGAAAATTGATAAGCGAATACACAAAATAATTCTATTATTTAAAATACAAAGTCAAACTCCATGAACCAAAATGGCACAAGGTATCACATTACATTAGTAAACTTAAGAACTCATTGTTTTAATTGCTTTCCGTTCCATCCATTTAATCATTATCCAAAGTTATCAATTTTGCATACAAGGTTGATAAAAACCAATCTTGACTCTCATATCATATTCTTCTACCAAGAAGATCTCCATTCAACTTTCTAGTTGAAAATGCAACTTCCTTTATGCTAAATAAAACCCTTTATCATAGCTCCCTACCTCCTCTACCACATAGCAATAATTGAACGCCATCTATGTAACACCCAAAGATCAAAATATAGAAGAATTGTCTATTTTTAACTCATAATTAATCTACCAAAGCTATTTATCTCATTAGCATAAATAGAAGTCAATGGAAGTAACAATAAATTCTTTTTTTCAATTTATAATTCTATTCATTATTACAAAATCATATATAATAACCAAGAGTTCAATCAAAATATTATTTTATATATTTATACTCATGACTATAAAGAATAAAATAAAAAAATATAAAAAATAAAATAAAACATGAATCCTGATTGATCTCACTCCACTAAATCCTAACCCCTTTATGAAAACATGCAAAAAAATCATGGAGTAAGCTAAAAGCTTAGTAGGTTATCATAACCTACAATTATAATCAATGCAGGGTAATATAAAGCAATATATATGTAATACTTCAATTAATAACAATATGAATCTATAATTGTGAAAACATGTATTAGTCAATATGTGAATAATACCATCTCACATGAGCAATGAAAATTAATGTAAGCAATGTAATTCTTAATCAGTGAACAATAGACATATAAAGGATCAATAAATTATGTCATTCCTCTACGCATGTTAAGTGCAATGAAATGGGTTTATCATTAATTTATACATGCCTATAAATTATGTCATTTTACCTCAATTTATATATTATCTCATATTTATTAATATACATGCCTTATAGAGCAAGTGTTCTATATCTAATTTATATATGGTGTATGTCGTATCAATAAGTATATCATGTACTATATCATGTATAAATGTAATATATATCAATCAATTCAAATGTATTAGATGTCTTTGTATCAATCATAGCAGTCATATCATGTGTTTATTTTGATCATATCATGTATCATATTCATATCATATCTCTTATACAATTTGTTAAGTATATTCATGTCACATACAAGTAAGATAGGACACCTAGCTACCTATGATGTTTTCTCTGTCACATTCTATAAGTCAATTGTATATGAATCAGTCTCAATCATATAAGTCATATTACCAGGAATAAGTCTCATACCACATATCATACGTTAGATGTTTTTTTATATAAGAAGTCATCACTTCCTGTCTATCGGTATATCATGCACATTAGTCAACCCTCTTCTACCTCTCTTTTTCTTATTACTTAGGATTACACTATAAATATTATTTAAATAAAAGTCTGCAGGCCCACCCTTTTGTACATTACTCTTTTATACATGGTAACATGTCTCTTGCCAACTTAAATCAGGCAATCATTTTCAGCTAGCCTTTCTTAACTTTACACACATTTCATATTATCCTGTGTCCATATTGATCATATCTAAAGCACTATCCTATGATTAAATAACATTGTCCTGCATGTCTCCTATAACATATGAGGCACTCCTGCATAATACTTGTTAGTATCATGGGTCCTCTCCTAACATTAACAAACATACTTCTATCCTAACAATTTTCTCCTCTTCCCCCCTCTTCATCTACTCTCTTTCTACTCACATCGTGTATGTATAAGGAATAGCCAAATCAATTTATACTAATCTAGTTCTCTCCACTAACTCTGAAAATCTCCTAAATTCTCAATGTTATAAGTGGGTGTCTCAACTCAACCATTAATCATATCAAGAATGTATAATATTTCTCATATATAATAATGACTAATTGAGGTGCATAATTAGTAAGTATAATAAACTAATCTTTATATTGCATCATTATCCTATTTCCCTACTCCAATACCATGATAGCTTTATGCATCTGATGACTTGTTACTAGTGGGAGTACAAACTATAACATAAAATTAGTAACAAATTATGCCCATGTAATCTTTACATTCATCGTCCTTCCTAAAAATTTTTCTCATTACTATCTTATCTGCCGCCTCTCAACTTCTTCTTCAAATAGAAATACTGTTAGTGATACTTTCCTGTTCTTTGAACATTATATGCTATCAAATATTTTTTTCTATCCTTATTAACAAGTCCTCCGTTGTCTATGGTTCTACAGTTCCCTTGAATAGTGTGGGTTTCAACTTGTGAAATATTTGTAAGTACTTATCCTCTTTAGTCTTGTTGGCCTCAGTTGTTGCTTTCTATGTGAATCACTCATCAACGGAGCTATCAAATTTACAAACTGCATCATATTATCAGAATTCTTTCAATAACTTTCACTCTTAATTAATCTATCAGAGCGATAAAATAATCAAATATGTCGAACAAATTACTAGAGTTAGGTAATAGTTACATCAATAGGAGTACAATTATGTGACTTTGACCTCTACCCCTTCAGCTCTAAATTTATAGAAGATTCAAATGATATTATTACTTAATAAGACATGTTATCATATATAAGTTAGCCAAGAAAGCCAAGAGAGTTAACAATAACATTATATAGTGTTTCACCTTAAGAAGAGAGAAATGAGCATTATGACTCATAATACTTAAAAAATGAGAGGACATCTCGAGGTTTACTTTAGCAAATCATCAATCCTCTCTTAGTGTAACTTTTTTTAGCTCAAAAGGGTTGGATCAAACTCTCTATACAATAATATTTCTATGATAAACATTTTGAGACTTTTCTCCACTCTTATGTTATTATATATATTTTGAGTATGATTCATTTTGTTCAATAAATTCTTCATAATTTTTCAAGAATGAATTTGTATTCAATAAAACAATTTTATATAAAAGGTAATAAAGATAAATACTAACGCTTTGTTGAAACAACTTTCTTATAACTTTACTTTTTAGACCACAATCATAGCTTTTATTTAACCACTATTTTTTCACTACTTTCAAGAATTTTGTGCAACAAAAAAACATTCACTTGTAGCTTTCAAAAAAGCTATTTTCTCCACAACAACTTTACAACCATCTTTATAAAAAACTACATCATCCCAAATGGACCTTAACTCATGATGATCCCTAGTCTTTTTAAACTAATATGCATGCAATAGCTCATCTAATCAAATAAATTTCTTAATTATATGTACTAACATATGTATATACTTAATTTCAACTTAGAATAATTTATTTTAATTGTTTCATTTTATTTGCTGACGAAAGGATGGTATGGTGGACTCAGCCCTTTATTTGCCAGGCCCAAACCTACCATCCTTGATCAAATCCAGTAAAAGAGAATATTTTTATTTATTCTCATTTTTTTTTTTCATTCTGAAGAAAATTAAATAAGATTTATATTAAACATAAAGCATGACATACTATCTTCATTATACTTTTTTTTTTTAAATTAAAGAAAAAACCTTGAAACTCAATAGAAATGATTATAGGTTTCATTTGGGACGACTTTTTTACTGCTTTCTAAATCAACTTTTTAGAACAAAAATTTTTATTAAAAAACATGTGTACTAAAACGCTATTTTATAAAATAATAAGAAAACTATCACAAATGAAATCTTAATTTTTGTATTTATTTTGACTTAAAATTATGTAATTAGGATACTCCTAATTTCACTCATATTTAAAATATCTTTTCAAATGCTTCATAAATATAAAATGAGAGCTTGGGATCAAAATTATTTTGAAAGATTTTTGAAATTCTGAAAACTTAATGAAAATTTGATTGAATGTAATTCAAAACTAATTATATTTTTCTTCTTTAATTCATAAAATAATAACATATGATTTATGAGAATTTTTAATATTCATTTATTTTATAAAATTTTATAATCAGTAAAGCAATACCTTGCAGGAGTGAGGACTGGGACAACCCCAAAGGCATCAAGTGCGCACTGGAGACAATGCCGGTGCTTAATCGAAGACAGCCGCTACTCGTGGGGACGGATTGGCGGCTATTCTATGCGGCAGCGAAGACGATCGGTTCTATGCGGTCGACGGTGGGCCTCGTCAACATCACAGCCTTATCGGAGCTTCGCAAGGACGCACACACCTCCGTCCACACAATCCGACAAGGGAAGATGCTAACGCCGAAGCAGCAGGCCGAACCAGCCCTCTACGCCGACTGCATCCACTGGTGCTTACCGGGCCTCCCGGATACGTGGAACCATTTCCTCTATGCTCGCATTATTTCTGGAAGCTTCTCGAAGATCTCCACTCTTTAGAAGTATTATTGGTTCTCTGTAATTTTTTGTTTTTGATTTTTGCTTGGGCGAATCCGACGGTGGAGAGGCTTCCGATTTGATCAGATGGGTAAAGTTTTTGGACCTAAGCTAGAGCTCTAGTGGGGGTCATCCGGACTTGATCAATAGTATATAGCTAGTTTTATGAGAGATTTATGTGTGCCTTCAAATTTTTTTATTAAATTAATATTGAAGTATTTAAATATAATAGAAAATTTCATGTATTTGTGTATGATATGATCAAGTAATTTAAAGAATAATAAATAATAAAACTTAGTGTAGCTTTTCTAATTTAATAATTTCTATATTATTCGTCTGAGAAAAAGATCAAAATGATCTCTTGATTCTTTTAAGAGATCAAGATGATTCCTAACTATATTAAATGATTATTTTGATCTTTCAAATTCTTTAAAGTGGAATCATACTATCAGACTATTTTGATTCTTTATAAAGAGTTGAGGGGTTAAAAAAACCTTTTAATTAAATTGTAGATCATTTTGATCATTCATAGAGAGTTAAGAAATAAATTTGTTCATTTTCTCTTATTCATCTTGTTACGTCCTGGAGTATTCGCGGCGGTAGAAAAATATAAAGTTTAACGTTTTAACTTTGTACGAAAATCTGGCACGCAAACAGATGAAAGAGACGTGCAACATTCATAAAAGACACCAAGATTTTTACGTGAAAAACCCCTAAAAAAGAGAAAAACCCATGAGGCCTAGCCCAGTTTGAATGAATCCACTATTATTTGCTTCAATTGATTACAAATGAGGCCCTTCTTTGGGGGAAGACTTTAGCTTGATGTACATCTTATAGAATACATTACATGGTGGGAATACAAATAATCACTATTGACATGTTCGTTTTATCAGAAGGACCATATTCTGGTGATGGAGGTCAGCAGAATCGTAGTCTACGGGCGACTGAGGTCATAAAGACCGCTGTCTGGCGACGGAGGTCGGAAGGACTATAGTAGGTGGGCGACGTAAGTCATGAGGACCGTAGTCAGCAGGAGACGAAGGTCGGAAAAATTGAAGTTGATGGGCGACATAAGTCAGGAGAATCGTAGTCGGCTGGCGACGGATGTCGGAAAGACCGTAGTCGGTGGTGGACGACGTAAGTCAGCAGGACCATAGTCGTCGGGCAATGGAGGTCAGAAGGACTGTAGTCGGTGGTTGACGTAAGTTAGGAGAACCATAGTCGGTGGGCGACGGATGTCATAAAGACCGTTTTCTGGAGATGAAATTCGGAAGAACTGTCGTTTGACGACGGATGTTAGAAGAACGGCGTCAGGTAGAACTCCTGCAATGGACAGAAATCTAGTATCGGATAGATGTCCAACAGAAGTTTGATAACGGGCAGAAGTCCGACGTCGGGTAGAAATCTGACGACGAGTGAAGGTCCGGCATCGGATAGAAGTCCGACGTTAGTCGGCAGCCGGGTAGGACTCCGACGCTAGATGGTATTCAGGTAAAACACCGGCGTCACTTGGAGGTCGGACGGAATTCCGGCATCCCTTGGAGGTCGGTCAGAATTTTGGAGTCCCGTGGAAGTCAGGAAGAATTCCGACAGTGGTCGAGGAGGAGTTTTTTCCCTCCTATCCTTCTTCTATTTTCTTCTCATTCTTCTCCTCTTCTTCTTGCTTTGGCCCCCCCTATTTTTAGACGTTGAAGGTCCAGAAGTCTGAAAATACTTATTCTAATATTATACATTGGCCGAATCACAAAAAATTGTGTTCCAAAAGTTAAAATCTTGCTCAAACTTGATCATAGAGGCCCCGTTGAGCTCCAAAAGTGTCAAAATTGAGCCTCGGACGTCAAAAAATGTGTTCGGGGACTCCAAAAATGTCTGATTTGGACTGTTCGGGCTGAAAATCGAGCCCGGACAAGCATAGGCGGCAGAACAGGCCGACCGGCCGGCTGGCCGTCGCTCGTCGCCTCCACCGGCGGTAGTTATCTGGCATTTTAGTTTCTTTAATTTTTTTAAAATCATTTTTTAATTCAAAAAATTTCAAAAAAGTTTGAAAATTTTGAAAATTCCAGAAAAATTTAGAAACTTCTTTTCTTTCCCCAAAAACACTATAAATATCCCTCAAAGGCTAGGGGCAAACTTACACATTCTCCTCTTCTCATTCTAGCTTTTTGGCAGTTGAGGCTTTCCGCTGTTTTTCAGTAGGTGACTTTCCCTACTTGACTCGGTGCCCCTTTTTGTATAAAAGTTGGAGAATTCTCCTTTTTTTCTTCTTTCTCCCTAATTTTTCTTCATGCTTTAGAGGCTTTCTGCTATTTTTCATAGGTGATTTTATATGCTTAAATTCATTGCTCCTCTTCAGTGTAGAAGAAAAAATTTTCTACTTCTAATGCCTTCTCCTTTGGCTATCTTCTTACAGTCGAGGCATTCCGTTATTTTTTTTATGTGACTTTTCCTACTTAAATCGACGCCCGTCCTCTTGTACAGAAGTTAGACTTTTTGAAGAAAAAGTTATAGAAGATGTTTGATATGCAGTAGAGAAGAAGTCATTAAATTCACTAAGGATATTTGACTGTTTTGAAGTTATTTGTTGTTTGATGATTGTAACTTGTACAGATGATATCAATGTACTTTTTACTTTCAGATTATTGTAAAAATAAACTTGTTGTATAATTTTTGCAATGTAACTCCAGTGATATTATATATGAAGTTGAGATCTTATCCCTCAGAGGAAATTAAATTATTTATGCATATTTGAGTCATGCTTTGATATATTACTTAATATAATTTTTTGAGGCTTTTTAGCCTGCTAAAAATTTTCATATGAGTGAAGATTTTATCAACCACTTGCTTTCATGAAATTTTTATAGAGAGAATGTTGTTCACTCATAGCACTACTCAACCTCTTAGAAGAGGTTGAAAGAATCCACCAAGGATGTTAAGACCTATCCAAAGTTTTATGTCAGAGCCTATGCTCGATGACATTAACCTGTATGGAAGAGGTTGAGAGAATCCATTAAGGATGTAAGACTTATCCGATGTTGTATGTCAGAACCTTTGCTCGATAATGTTAACTTGTGTTGAAGAGGTCAAGAGAATCCACCAATGATATGAGACATATCCGAGATTGTATGTCAGAGCCCTGCTCGATGATGTTAACCTGTGTGGAAGAGGTCAAGAGAATCCATAAAGGATGTGAGACTTATCCAAGGTTGTATGTCATAGCCCTACTTAATGATATTAACCTATGTGGAAGAAGTCAAAAGAATCCACCAAGTATGTAAAACCTATCCAAGGTTGTATGTTAGAGCCCTACTCGATGACATTAACTTGTGTGAAGGAGGTCGGGATAATCCACCAAGGATTTAAGACCTATCTGAGGTTGTATGTCAGAGACCTTGCTCGATGACGTTAACATGTGTGGAAGAGGTCGAATTGAATCCCCTTGGGATCGATTTTGTTTTGATTGAGAGGGGGCCAAAGCCGCGTGTATCCCAAATCAAAGGTAAAAAATGATCTATCTTTTGACCGTTATTGCCTTTTTAAGGTCAATATTAAGGCTTTGCCCAAGGAGTAGAAGTTCAGATATGTACTGTATAAAGCTTATAATTGATTGGAAGCATCATCGCATTTGCTGGAATTTTTTTTGAAATATCATCTTGATATTGAAAGCATTGGATGATCTTTTTGACCATGATTGGAATCAAAGTTACCTCCCAGTCCGTATCTGATTCTTATGAAATTGATGCAGTAATGACTGATGTCATGAAGTTGACTTGAATGATCTTTTGAGGTTAGACAAAAATTTGTCACCCAGTTGGGAACCACGTTCCCACAGATGACGCCGAACTGTTGCACCTCTCTTTCATGTGTTTGTGTGCCGAATTTTCGTATAAAGTTAAGACGTTAAACTTTATATTTCTCTACCGTCACGAATACTCCATGACGCAAACATTTGTATCAAAAATCCCCACCAGACTAAAAGAATGAATCTCATAGGTTACTTAGATCACACTATACCAATCATAAACCATCTAATATCTAGAAAGAGTCAATAATAAAAAAAAAAAAGAGTTAATATACATCTGATTTAATTAAAAAATATAATTAACATATCTTCTTTCTATGATAAAATTTTATTAGAGGATATTATATTATTCATGTATTTAGTTTTTAATATAATTTTATTTCTGCTCCTACCTATAAATATTGGATGAGAGGGTGAATCTGACGACACAATAATTTAATTATCTTAACCATTTTACTTTTAAACAATAAAATGACAAAAATAATCCTACTCGTTTTTTCCCCTCTATTTTTCGTAGCCAATTTTACGTGTAAGATCTGCCTACATATAAATATTCACGTGTTTTCTTTTGGGTAACATTTTTAGGTGGTTTTGCTTTAGTTTTGGGTGAATTATTGAGAAGAAAATTAAATTGAGTGCTTTGTTATTTCTTGATTTTTATTTTTAAAATGTTATTTTAATTTAAAATCATGAAAATTATTTTATAATTAGTGTTAGACATGAAATTGGCTCCTTTATAAAGGAACTTTTATTATATCCAGTGAACGTACGTAGAGGAACGTTCGGTTTTAGACAAAAAAGCGCCTGTACCGAGTTTTTTGAAAAAAATCGGTACACCTCGGTACTCGGTACTCGGTACAGACGCTTTTTTGGCCTAAAACCGAACGTTCCTCTGTATACGTTCACTGGATAAAATAAAAGTTCCCTTTAGAGTGTTCTGTGCGGTGATCAAACACCTTATGAGGCTAATTCAAACGCACTATATCATCGAATGCTTCATTTGATATAATAATATTTTTTTTTTTTTTTCGTTTTTCGAATCAGCGGGTTCTCAGCAGCTTCACGTGTCCATACCTAATTAAAAAAAGTAATAAAACTTCTAATAGGAAATATTGTCCCAATCAACAAAATCATTTGATGTCCATCTAGTTGAAGGAACAGTGACTCTTTCTGGAGTAAGCTGCGCTGTCATACTCCACGATTATAAAATATTTTTAATGTATTGGAAGTTGATTTGACATAAAGGTTAATGTGCCTCTCGGTGAGTGATTCTTCATTCTTCTACCTCGTTCTAAAGAAAACTATAAATGCAGGAGATTATTAAAATTTTAACAAGTCCTTCTGTTTTAGATTTATCTTTTAGCATTAATTTTGACATCATTA